CTTGCTCCTCTGTAGCACGAGAGTAGGTCACAGATGCACGAGAGTTGTGCTCTCGGTGCACCACAACCTCTCTTGCTCCTCTGTAGCACGAGAGTAGGTGCTCTCGGTTCGGTTCCGGCCGAACCAAGTGACTATATCAGTTCGAAAATGGCATAACTTAGCCCGCAGGTGCCGGCGCACGCGAGCTCGGGCTTGATTTCAAGCCTTTTTCATGTCCTCTAGTTGGATTTTGATTTGCACCCACCCCCCCCCCCCCCCACGCGCGAGAGAACCTCTATGCTATACAATTCTATAAGCTTAAAAAGAGCTCATGTATATAAGGGGGGCAAATCTTGTTTCCAAACCAATGTGGGACAAAGTCCTACATTTTTCCTTCATTTCCCAACTTAAATGGGTCTACTTTGAGAATCAATATCTCATTCACCCATTATCCGTTTTGAGCGTACAATATATCAATCTCTTCGTCTTACTACGAAGAATCCGAATCCACTTTGACCCGACCCAAATCGGAAGTGGACCCCACTAATAATTGTACCACAAAATAGCCACTTAATATGCCATTTTAAGCTAATTTTTCCAACATAAAATACTAGAAATTGATTAGCTACGGTGAAAATACATATTTTAATAACTTTTTTAAATTCAAGTATTGTAATGCTTCTAAACTCTTTATATATGATGATTTCTGATCTCCACTTAGGCATAGATTTCTTCAATTTCTAGTCTTATAATTCTTTTCAATCTATTGTGCAAATAAATTTAGAACCAATTTGTTTATATTAAAGTTAATTATAATGGAGGACTTTTTTTTTTTTTTTTTTGACCATTTAAAATTTAGTAACAAACCATTTTTTGCTATATAACACCCAAACTATAACATTTTGACACATTTTAGCTATTTTGGTGACTTTTCTGACAAAACTTATTTTAGGTAATAATATTTTTGTCACTTCAATTTAAAAAAAAAAATTCATTTTTTTTTTGCGTCTGGTATTTTGCCACCAAGCTCACTGGAATCTCGTCCTACATATCAGCAGCTGAGGTGGTGCTTCTCGGATTGTTTCTCCAACAACTTGAACACATTGTAAACATTAGACACAACTGATCCATTCGCAACCATCCGAATCAGACGTCGACTTCTCCTCCTGCGACCTGCTTCTTGGTATACTTCTGGGTGTACGACACATTTTGCCACCCGTGGTCATTGTTGGCGGCTTCGGTGTGATGGTTCAACTCGGATGTCATTGATTTATCTTCCATTTTCACAGTTCCTTCCCGACAAACAAAGAAGATGGGTAGGTTTATAAAGAAGAAAAAACAATAAGCAGAGTTTTGATCCGTGCTTATCAAGAGAGGGTTGAAATTATGATATGGGAAGGATTTATAATGGAGAGTGGATAATTATTAAAATGATAGTAAACGACTAAATTTAGAATTGTCATAAAAAACAAAAGACATTCGCTATAATTAACTCTTTATATTATAAAGACATACAATATAGGGCAAACTTGTGTTATTTTTAGCAGGTCAATTGACACCATTAATATGTTGTTTCTTATTACCATTGTGTATATATTTTAAAAAATATTTTAAAATTGACCTCATCAAAATATATAGAAGTAGGGTTATATTAAGCAATGTAAAATGATACGGAGTATTTACTTTTTACTTAATTTTTTCTATTTTAACCATTCTTAATGTTGATTTTAAAATTATGTGTTAACATTAGTATTCACATCTATATATAGCATTTGCCTTATTAGTGAACGTATACGATTGACTTGATAGAATATATGAGATTTGGGGTAAGAATATATGAGATTTGATTATATAAAATATTTTAAAAATACACATAATGACTTAAATATTATATATAAACAAAAAAAAAAAAAAAAAAAAAAAAAAAAAACTCTTACGATGTTTTTCCTTGATGAAATATAATACACACTTGGGCATATGCTTGTTGTTTAAATCTTTGTTTTTCCTAATTATTCTTGCACTAAAATGATTTAATTATTTACATTTTAAATTATTAATGATAGAATCAAACTATCAAAGCCGTTTTATAATTTTTCTCCCATTATTTTTTTAAAGTTTTTTTTAAATAAAAAAAATAAAAATTTGTAGTATTTGTAATCATATTTGAAATCTCAAAAAGATGCAAGCAATTTCTCTTGAATTCTCGAGGATAAAAGAATAAAAACTTCATATCAAACTACCAAAGTCAAAGTAATCACTTCATTTTTTATTTTTTATTTTTGGTTGTTATAATGTTTATAGTCAAATTTGAATACTCAAAGAGCTAAGATACTTAAATCAATTCTTATCATCCCTAGACACATTTGAATTCATCCTCGTCCTTCTCCCACTCAAAGAATAAAAAATGTGTACTTGAATAAGAAAAATGTGCATTTGAAGAAGAAAAAAAATGTGCACTCGAAGACAAAAATAATTTAACTAACTTCGAGTTATTTATCATAATGCCACCACATTTTTTTTAATTATCTCTATTATTGACTGTTGATTTTAATTTGATCAACGAATAAGATCAAACCTTATTAAATATTCAAGATATTTGTTTGCATCTAAAAATTATCTAAATGTGATACCCACACCAAAGAAATCATTCAAAACATATATAAAATCACAATATAAATTAATGTATATAAAAATTCAATAAAGACACATTATTTATCTGGACCCGCGAGACGATAAGCTAAGCATTAAAATATCTAAATAAACCAAATTAAAATGTGTTTATTTACATGTTTCTCACATGTACAAGTAATCTCATAACAACAATAGTAGAACTCCATTTAACTTGGCACCTTAAAAAAAGTCCCTTTAGTTTTTCTTTTTTAATTCTTACATAAAAGTATCACGCTCTTACTATTTTATTTGACCTATACGTTCAACGTAATTTGTACGTCACTGGACGCGTAAAATCTTTTATTTTTTTGGCAGATTTTTTTTCTTTTTCTTTTTCCTCCTATTTTCTCTTTTATAATCACACTTACACAAATTTCTCAAAAAAAAAAAAAAATACAACTATTGAAAATACTATAAGAAATTATGAAATATAATGTGAACAAAAATTTTATATTTATTAATATTTTAATATTGAGTATGTATTTTTCACATGAACATATATACAAAATAATAGTAATAATAATAAGAATAACAACAACAACTCATCTAACTTTTTGAGTTATCAAGTGGCTTCTGGTCCACTGGTATTAGATTGCTCCCCTATGTGGGAGGTCTATGTTTTGAGCCTCAGTCTAGGCGTAATAAAAAAAATTCAACAATGGCAGCAATCTTAAGTGATGAACACTTATAATTTTCCGTTATTAAAAAAAAACACTTATCATTTTTCTTTGGAATAAAGGTCAAATACGTCATCGAATTGCACACAATAATGCAATTAAGCCACTGAACCTAAAAAAATAACAATTAGGCCACTAAACTAACTAATTTCTTTAGTAACAGGTCACCCAACAAATTTAAAATAGTTTTTTAAAAAATTATTATTTAAAAATAATAAATTATAATATATTTTTAAAAAAGAAAAAAAACGTTTAGGTTTCTTCGTCCCGGCCATGGAGACGAAGAAACGTTTTTGTTAAATATATTTTAATTTATTATTTTTTAAAAAATATTTTAAATTTTTTGGGTGGCCTGTTACTAACCTGCAAAACCTGTAAATTAGACTAATTGAAAAAAATTAGTTAGTTTGATGGCCTAATTTTTAAAATTTTAAGTTCAGTAACCTAATTGCATTATTGTGTGATGTTCTTATTTAACCCTTATTCCTTTTCCTTTTAATTGAGTTAATTATCAAAATGGTCCCTTGACTATAGTGAAATTACCAATTTGGTCCTTGACTATTTTTTTAACCAATTAAGTCCCTTAACTTTAAAAATTTTAACCAATTTGGTCCTCCGTTAGTTTGACCGTTATTCAACCGTTAACTTGGGACCAAATTGGTAATTTCGCTATAGTCAAGGGACCATTTTGGTAATTAACTTTAGGGGTGGGCAATTCGGTTTAGTTTTCTCAAATCGAACCGAACCTAACTATTTTGGTTCAGTAATATACCGAACAACCAAACGGTATTGGATTATTGTATACCGAACGGTTCGATAAAAAACTGACCCGAACGATCCGAATTGTTCGGTAAAAAATTAAACTGAACCGAATACCGTTTGATTTTTTAAATATAATAATAATAATAATAATAATAATAATAAATAAATAAATAAATAAATAAATAAATAAATAAATAAAAAGTAAATCCAAGTCCCTTGCTGCTTGCTCTGCCGTTCAGCTCATATTCTCACAGGTATCTCTCGTAATGTTTTATTTGATTTCTTTATGGTTTGTTATCAAATGTTCTATATTATGTGTTATGATGTTTACATTGTCCATATCCAAAGTCTAATATATAACAAAATAGCAATCCAAAGTTCAAACGATATTCGGTTCGGTTCGATTTTTACCGAACAATTCAGTTCGGTTCGAGTTTTTACCGAACCATTCGGTATACAAGAATCTATTATCGTTCGATTGTTCGGTATATTGTACGGTTCGAGAAAGCTGAACCGAATTGCCGACCCTTAAAGTTAATTACCAAAATGGTCCATTGACTATAGCGAATTACCAATTTGGTCCCAAGTTAACGGTTGACTAACGGTCAAACTAACGGAGGACCAAATTGGTTAAAATTTTAAAGTTGAGGAACTTAATTGGTTAAAAAAATAGTCAATGACCAAATTGGTAATTTCACTATAGTCAAGGGACCATTTTGATAATTAACTCCTTTTAATTTTATGAGTATAGTTGGAATCTTTTGTACACGTGCTATTTTAAATTGATGAATTTGGTAAAAAAGAAAAAAAAAAAGATTTTTAAAACCCCATTCCGCGACACAGCTACCCATACTTCCACGGCGGATAAACGTCAGATTTATCGTTATCTGATCCATTTGACACTTCTTTTCATACTCGTGAACTTGAATACCATTCTTCCGCTGCCTTTACGTATACGTGATATCGTGAATTTTCTGGTAAACTTGTTTTTCTTTTTCCTTTTTTTTTTGCTTGGAGAGATTTTAGATTTCGACTTTAACACCATTTGTAGGGATTTTGTTTCTTGTTTCGAGCTCCCATTTGGGCATTGATTCCGTGGGTAGTGGAAAAATCGATTCTTTGATTGGAATTGCTTGAGTGTTTTCTTTTCCAAGTTGCCTTCTTGCTTAGTGTCCTGGAAATTTTAGTTGAAAAACCGATTCTTTGATCCAGGGATCTCTTTGCCTGTTGTTCTATGGTTATTGAGAATTTCCGGGTCCATATTCCTGTTCTAGTCTGGGCGGAATCTCCATTATTCTAGTCTAGAATAGAAAAAAAGGTTAGATTTTCTTTCCCCAAAACCTTCTAACTTAAGATTTCAGCTTAAGATAATCTATACTGAAGCATTTATTTGGCAGATGCTTTGATTATTAGTTCTTAATTGTGTTCTTAAGTATCCATTTCTGACTTTCAGAGATAACCATTTGTCCTCATACTTTACTATTCCTTAATTCTTGGAGCTTGTGTAAGCTCTACTGCAGACAACTGTCCTGTTTTGGTCTAAGTTATTGTTGAATAGTTGTGAATTGTGATCCTCTCTTGATAGATAAACCCATAGGAAAATAGGATTGATCCCTTTGTCCTAAGGCATGGATATTAGCAACGAGGCTAGTGTTGAGTTCTCCAAAATCGGGCCTTCGTCGATTGTGGGCAGGACGATTGCTTTCAGAATTTTATTCTGCAAGTCATTTTTACAATTTAGGTTTCATATTTATCACTTCGTGCGGTACTACTTGTCTAAGGCTAAGAATGGTTACGTGGCACCTTTGGTATCGTGGTTCCATCCCCGAAATCCACAAGGGATATTAGCATTGGTGACACTCATTGCTTTCTTGTTGAAACGATACACCAACTTAAAAGGGAAAGCTGAGATGGCGTATAGGAGGAAATTTTGGAGGAACATGATGGCATCTGCCCTGATCTATGAGGAATGGGCTCATGCTGCGAAGATGTTGGACAGGGAAACCGTTAAAGTGAACGAGGCTGACCTTTATGATGTCGAACTCGTTAGAAATAAGCTCCATGAGCTTCAGCAGCGTCGCCAGGAGGGGTCTCTTCGAGATATTATATTCTGTATGCGAGCTGACCTTGTCAGGAATCTTGGCAACATGTGCAACCCGAAGCTACACAAGGGGAGGCTACATGTTCCGAAACTTATTAAGGAATATATTGATGAAGTTTCGACTCAGTTGAGAATGGTGTGTGATTCTGATTCGGAGGAGCTTTTGTTGGAGGAGAAGCTAGCTTTCATGCACGAAACAAGACATGCCTTTGGCAGGACGGCTTTGCTTTTAAGTGGAGGCGCTTCTCTAGGAGCTTTTCATGTTGGTGTAGTGAAGACATTGGTAGAGCACAAGCTTTTGCCTCGGATAATTGCTGGGTCGAGTGTTGGATCCATCATCTGTTCGATTATAGCCACTAGGTCTTGGCCCGAGCTCCAAAGCTTTTTTGATCATTCATGGAACTCGCTGCAATTTTTTGAAGAAATGGGTGGGATTTTAACGGTTTTTAAGAGGGTGATGACATATCGTGCTGTTCATGAGATCAGACAGTTGCAGTTGATGCTGCGCGATCTCACTAATGACATGACTTTCCAAGAAGCTTATGATATGACTGGTCGGATTTTAGCCATTACGGTTTGCTCTCCAAGGAAGCATGAACCCCCCAGATGCCTAAATTACTTGACGTCACCTCATGTTGTTATATGGAGCGCTGTCACTGCTTCTTGTGCCTTTCCTGGCCTTTTTGAAGCCCAAGAACTCATGGCAAAAGATCGACATGGAGATATTGTTCCTTACCATCCTCCTTTTCATTTGGGACCCGACGAGGCTTCTAGTGCTCGTAGATGGAGGGATGGTAGCTTGGAGATTGATTTACCTATGATGCAGTTAAAGGAGCTCTTCAACGTTAATCACTTTATTGTGAGTCAAGCAAATCCACATATCGCACCTTTACTGAGGATGAAGGAGTTTGTGAGAGCTTATGGAGGGCATTTTGCTGCCAAGGTATATTTTAATTGCCTTCAGTCAATTTTAATGCCATTTTTTATACTCTTTGCTGTCTTATATCTTTCAAAATGTCTATTTTTCGCTTGAAAATCTAGAGAATTCCAGAAAGCTTTCTCTTTTTGGCTGTAGTGCTATATTATTGGGTAGTATAACCTAGCCTCAAATTATGTGAGTGTCTAACCAGCTATGGAAAAACCAACATGACCAACACTTTGCCCCTTAATTGGGCCGGCCTGGTGTGAACAAGGATTAGTCCGAGTATAGTACGGGCTTAAGGTGCCTACTATAGTTAGGACCTACTTAGGACATCTCGTCTGTATGAGCTTGGATCGGCCCAGTGTGAACAAGGATTAGTCTGAGTATAGTACAGGCTTAAGGTGCCTCCTATAGTTAGGACCTACTTAGGACACCTCGTCTGTATGAGCTTGGGTCGGCCCAGTGTGAACAATGATTAGTCTGAGTATAGTACGGGCTTAAGGTGCCTCCTATAGTTAGGACCTACTTAGGACACCTCGTCTGTATGAGCTTGGGTCGGCCCAGTGTGAACAAGGATTAGTCTGAGTATTGTACGGGCTTAATGTGCCTCCTATAGTTAGGACCTACTTAGGACACCTTGTCTGTATGAGCTTGGGCATTCAGTTTGAACTAAGAACTAACCAAATATTTAAAATCTTGAAGTTTTATACATTTTTGTTAAAGAGAAACACCGGAATTGCTACTTCACTCCTACTAGTCCTTACATTGTCATAAATGTCTACTGTCTTTCTTTATTTCATGTTCATGGTATAACAATGTTTTTCATTAACTTTTCAATGTTCTCGAACTTAAACCAGAAAAGATTACATTTTACAATTTTTCGTGTTTTCCACTGCACAGATTGCTCATTTAGTCGAGATGGAGGTGAAACACAGATGCAATCAGATATTGGAACTTGGATTTCCCCTTGGCGGACTAGCCAAGTTGTTTGCTCAAGAATGGGAGGGCGATGTGACAGTTGTGATGCCTGCAACTCTGGCTCAGGTTTGTTCATATCGAAAAAAACTCATAGCCTTGATCATATTTACTCATTTTCCTTGATCGTCTTATTCATTTTCTCATACTTTTGTATGATACAGTACTTGAAAATAATACAAAATCCTTCTACGGTGGAGATTCAGAAGGCGTCGAACCAAGGAAGGAGGTGTACGTGGGAGAAGCTCTCAGCCATAAAAGCGAATTGCGGGATCGAGCTTGCTCTCGACGAGTGTGTTGCGATACTCAACCACATGCGTCGACTCAAAAGGAGTGCCGAGAGAGCGGCAGCTGCTTCTTCTTCGTCATACGGCTTTTCTAGCACGCTCAGATCCAATGGTTCCAAAAGAATCCCTTCCTGGAACTGCATTGCTCGCGAGAATTCAACGGGATCCCTCGAAGATTACCTCCACGCTGATGGAGGCGGCGGGGCGTCCACAGCACACGCTACTCGAGCTAGGCGGGCCCACAGGAACTTGCACGATGCCAGCGACAGCGAGTCCGAAAGCGATCTTACCTCCTGGACGAGGTCCGGGGGGCCTCTGATGAGGACAACATCAGCGGATAAGTTTGTCGAGTTTGTCCAGAGTTTGGACACCGGGTTTCGGTTGAACAAAGGATTGACGATCGACCCCAACAACGTTGTTGCAACAACAGCCAGCAGAGAAACGTTCTCCCCGAGTCCGAGGGTGACAACGCCAGATAGAAACTCGGATTCGGATTTCAGCCACCGCTTCCCCAGGACTAGTTCGAGCAGCATCGTGGTGGCAGAAGGCGACCTCCTGCACGCCGAGAGGGTCCAGAACGGGATCGTTTTTAACGTCGTAAAGAAAGAAGACTTAACCCCATCAAACAGGAGCCATGACTCTGAAAACAATTCTTCTGTGCATGATGACCCTGTTGCTGAATGTGTCCATATTGACAGCCCAGAAAAAGAAATGGATACTAGCTCAGTATCTGAAGATGGTGATCATGATAAGCTAGTTTCAGATGAGTGAAACATTATTGCCTATATTAACCTTCAGTGATTCTTTGCATATTAGCTGAATTTAGATTATAATGGAGGTTAGAACAGCAATATTGGGCTTTCCTCAAGAACAGTACTGATTATGGGTCTTATTACATTCTTGATTTCTTGTATAAAAGCTGTTCATGTACAGTAGTAGTTTGTCTAGTCTTAAAAGTTGTATTCTTCCCAACATGAATATTAAATACAAGGAATAAGGTTCAAATTGGCCACTGAACGTAACCTGGAAATGCAATTAGGTCATTGAACGAAAAAAAAGTGCAATTAGGCCATTGAACACTCAAAAAATGTGCAATTAGGCCACTGAATTTTCCAAACGTATGCAATTTTACAGGATAGCAAGTTACCATCAATTTTAGCAGGTTACCTGCTTACGTGGCAGCTTAGTTGGCATTTTTAATATTTTTAAATAATTTTTAATAATTAATTTTAATAATAAATGTTATAAAAAAAGTGGAAAAAATTAAATAAAAAATAAAATAAAGTCGTTTTTATTTTTTAAAAATTTTTTTAATAAAAAGTTATTATTAAAATTTATTAAAAATTAATTAAAATTTATTAAAAATGCCAACTTAGCTGCCACGTAAGCAGATAACCTGCTAAAATTGAGGGTAACCTGCTATCCGATAAAATTGCATATTTTTGTTGTGTTCAGTGGTCTAATTGCACTTTTTTTTTCGTTCAGTGGCCTAATTGCACTTTCAGATTGCGTTCAGTGGCTAATTTGAACCTTATTCCTAAATACAATAATTGAAAAATGTTGTACATAAAACTGTTTTTGATAAGACTCAAATTATTAAGATAAGAATGAGAGTGTTCATTATGAGGTGTTGATGTTCATTGTTCAATCACCTAATTGGTAGTTGTGTGTTAAAGCTAGTTGATATTCAACCATAAGAGCATCCTCAATAGTATCTCGACTATTCGATATTATCTGACTCCGTGTTATCCAGTTGGCATTCATGAACCAGTTGGGAGAAAATGTGGGTCAGGTGAGTCTGCTTCAACGAACCTTAATTGGGACACAACACTTGCAAGTGCACATCTTGTCTTGTTGATGAAAATGATACACAAACAATGTTTGTGTACCAAAAAACAATCATGCAAGTTGTGCCTTTGAGCAAACCAAAATCCCTCAGAATAAGCGTAATGATTGATTAGGTAAAAATCACACTAACCAATGCCAATTATTTATTGCAATAAGAGCAACCCTATTAGTGTATAATGTGGGAATAATGTCAGAAAAAGAAGAGAGAGAAGCAAGAAAAAGAAAAATGGAATGCTTCTGCAAAAGTGGGGAAAATTTAGAAATGTGGGACCTATATGATATTTTGCCCATGCGAGCCATGCGTGGTTGTCACCATTGCACCCAGCTGCACGCGCTCGTTGGGCGCGCTTGACAGTAATTAAAGTATTTTTTTAATAAAAAAAATTCAAGTTTTCATTCTTTTTTTTTTTTCCTTTTGTCTCTCCTCTCCCATTTACTCTTTTCTAATCACTCTTACATTCTCCTCCAATTCTCCCCACTAATAATATTGCTCTAAATCATATAATAACTTCTTATTTAATCGCAGAGTTTCTAACTTCTACCTTTAACTTATCTTTTCAATGATTGATAATCACGAACCGGTCAAACGTTGCATTTCTCCATGTTACGTTGTTTCATGTGCATCCTAGATGTGCTCAAATTAACTACCTAGAAATGAAAGGATTTTTACTAATTTGTGTGTAATTAAATTTGTACTTATAAATTATATAAAATAGAATCCGTACAACTTCAGAGGATCACTCCTCAACTCTGATTGAATGTCAAAAAGGTTACTACTCGAACATGTAACAATGTTCATTAGTTCATACACTGTTGTTGTTTGTCCGGCGTGCACTCAATTTCTCAGTATATTAAATTCATTATAATTTTTTTTTTTTTTTAAAAACCCATAATAATATGACACTTTACACTGACATGATTTTGATAAAACACGTCGACAGAAAATTTTGTACTTTAATTAATTAATTAATTAGATGGACTGAAAAAAATAATAGGAAGCTGGAGATGCTTTTTTCTAAACACATGCATTGAATAGAATGCCAACAACAATACAACATATTAGAATGGTCAAGAGGCCGGGTCACGTGGTTAACATGTTGTGGGTGTTTACATCAGCTTTGTTTGCCAATGAGCTATTAGCAGTTAAATAATTGGATTAGTAATAATTTTTAATTAATTACATTCATTGATAACCTGAGCTATTTGTGGATAGATATTTGATAAAATTAATTGCTAATTTCAGCTGATAAAAAATTGAAATAAATTAAATACTATGTAGATTAAAATAAAAAGTTGAAACAATGAAAAGTAGGGGTGGATAACTCTGAGCACCAAGACATGTTTCTGACTGGGTACCTTACTCGGGGTATCACCCAAATAACATAGGGCACCGCTTGAGATGATAGAAAATGAGATACCTTCTCGAGAGCGGGCTCCATGAGGTTGACAGTGTTAATGATGTTGAAGATTTCGTTGGGCAAAAAAATGGAGATGTGCAAGGCCACAATTGGGCTTCGCAGTCAGCAAGCAGAATGGAGACAGGAGTTTCATCCCGCTCGCCGGAGAACGCTTCTGGAAGAAGCTTCGTCGTGGAAAGCCCGTCAATCTCTCAGACTCAGAGAAAACAATAAGAAATGGAAAAGAAAGAAAAGAGAATGAGCAAAAAACTAAATTATTTTCACCATTTTATCCATTAAAATTTTTTAATTACTTATCGTCGATAGTTTGACCGGATAGCTAAAATTAAAAAAAAAAAAATCGAATAATTATAAAATTATATTAACATATTTTAAATTCGTAGATTCTAATTCACAATATCTCAATAGTCTTAGGATTAAAAGTAAATTTTCTATATCCATTAAATTAATTACAGAGTAATTTTCAAGGTGGTAGAGCAGGGACCACCTCAAACACTGTTTCATGTTTCTGTCACATTAATTTATTAGTGTTCATTTTTGCTGTTACCGTGTGCCAACTCTTTTCAGCGTGCTATTATCTGTTGGCTAAAAGTCAATATTTCCCTATAAAAATCATAACAGGAAATTCATCTCCAATTTCCAGATATCATAATCACATCAGCTGTAACGAATGGAAAATACATCATACTGGAAATTGTCTACTTTTATTGGGCATTTGGTAGTCAAATTTTTAAAAATAAAAAAATAAAAATTTAAAAGGTTGAAAAATTATTTTTCATATTTGGTGAAGTCTTTGATTTATAAATGTTCGAGTCAATTAAAAATTAGTTTTTTAAAAATCAAAGAAAATTAATTCCTAATAGCTAAAATGTGTGAGTTTCACCGTACCCAAATGACGCACCTTTATGTTTTGTGACAATTGCACCCAATTATGCATAATAATTACTCCGTATATAAAAACTTTTAAAATTTGACAAATTAATATCAAACATTTGTACAAATACAAGTAATGTCTACTTTGTACAAGTAAAAGTTCAAAATTAAATTCTTCAAAAAAGTATATATTACAATGTAAACACAAGTAGTTCGAATATTATAGTCACCAATTAATATTTAAATAAAGAGAATTAAATTATTTTTAATTATATACTATAATTGGGTACAATTGTTATAAAACACAAATGATTGTGTGTTTTTTTTTTTTAAACCAAGTTTAATGTATTTGACTTAATAAGTGCAAGTTTCTAAGTTCAATTCTTATGGAGCTACCTATTGACATTCTTGATTTGAGTCAGTCAACTGTGAACAATTTAGACTGGTTGACCTCTTTGTAGTCTTTTACCCGTTAAGATTACAAGGTAAACTTCAACCAAAATATATATTTAGTTGCTATTACAAATTTTCTCTTAAATTAATGCTATAATTATTACCGGAAGTAAAGATTTTATTTGTTTTTTTCACCAATAAAGCCAACCAATTACATACCAAAATGCCAAACAAGTCATAAACTCATAATGGAATTATTCTATACCTCACTATCAATGAAGAAAAATCTTAATAAACCAATCTTAATCACCTTTGCATGCATTCGGCAATTCGTGTTGTAACTTTGTAGCCCATGCTCCTTTACATTCCACGATAAGCCTGGACTGAGGTGACAATGTTTCGTATTTTGCAAAAAAAAAAAAAAAAAAAAAAAAAAAAAGGTGACAATGTTTCGTTGTCTAGCACTCTAGCCACAATTTAATTTAACTTTGTTGATTTTTAGTCTTAACATGGGCAATGCTACGTGCCTAAATTTTAGATATTTTAATGATATGACTCCTTTCAATAATTTACGATGGTGATGTATGTTATTAAATTTACAAATACTATACAGTGATCAGCGGAAGCGTAGTCGTGGTGATCTCCAGTCACAGTTAATGTTCCTGTTGTGTTGTCTCTTAACGGTAGACCGTTAGTCATTATTTGCCTCATACCTGACTCAGAACCCTAAATGGTGTATTGGTGTCTACTGAGCAGTATGAGTACCGTAACTGAATGTGCTATATCATCAATCATCTTGTATCCCATCAATCCAGGATTATATTAGGCACAGAGTTTGGGGGACTAACAACTTCTAGTTATTCAGTCCAACCAGACCCCTTAATAAACCTAGTCCACTTGCACCACTTAATTAAAGCCCTAATATATAATGTATAATATATATTATTAGAGAAAATCTTACAGTTTGACCACTTTCTAATTTCTAAGTATGTTGAGCATATATATATATATGTGTGTGTGTGTGTGTGTGTGTGAAATCTAATTATCAGTTTAGATTTTTAGTTGAGATAAAACATATGTTGTTAGTATCAGAGCCAATATCAAAACCAACCACATACATATCAAAGGTTATAGGTTCGAATCTTCACGTGCATTAAAAACAACCATCAAGAAACCGATCCGATTCAAACTTGGACTAGGATCAATCATGTAAGGGTCGATCCAAAGTAATTTGGGGTTATAACCCATGGATAATCTGGAGCTACCATTGACCTTGTTCCAAGTTGTTCGAGTCCAATCTTATTTTCAAGAAAAGTCTAGTTCAACAATTAGATCGAATTAATTGTGACTACGTCTACCCAATTCTTATATAATGCGTTACATCAAATTTTATTGCTCATTATAGTGAATAAAATATTAATGGAATGAATAATGCACAAAATGTCAGTGACAGAATATTCACTTTATGTAAACTAGATGATAAGATTCATTCATTGAATATTAATGAAAAAAAGTAAGCACCACAAAGTGTTGGATCCATATTCGAGCAATATAGTGACGTGTGAATACACAAAAATCACATATGCAATTCGTTGCATTTACGTGTAAGATTTGACTGCGTGATTTACAAGATCTATACTATTTAATTATAATAAATGTTATTATTATTAGTTTATTACATTTGATCAATTATTCCAATTTTGTTTTAAAAATAAAATTAAATATATTTGGTTGAACAACTAGTAATTACTACATGAGAATGTGTATTAAGTATATTTCATTTTGACCAAACCACTAAAAGAATCCATTTTGTTAAACAACAAATTTTATACCACAAAAATTGTCAAGAGTAACCAAGTAATTTCATATAAATTTTTTCATAATTTCCTTCTACAAATCACCACATATATAATTTATTACACTATGAATTCAATCAGACATCATGATTTACGGTGCGTAATTTACATTTACATATAACAAAATAAAAAGATCTATAATAAATTAGCATAATTTTTTGAGTGAATAATGTAACTCACATCCATTATTTGTTAGTGTGCACTGAATTTCTCAAACTACACAGGAGAGATAAATCGTACTAAACTTTTTAAAAAACAAATCGTTCTAAAAGAACCTCATACAATGGGCTTGACTAAGTAGTCGTTGGCAAGAAAATAAATTACAAATTTAAACTTATAGTTTAGTACTCCATATCTCCTTAAGTTTAAGAGCATCCCAATAGTCATTTTAGGAGGATTTTTTGTGGTTTTTTTTTTGTTTCTTCCCAAGTAGATGAGAGATATGGTCGGAGAGAAAAAACAATAATTTTGCAGAAATAAGGGATTTTTGTGGGTCATGCAAAAAAAAAAAAAAAAAAAAAACACTTTCTAGTGCGCGTTACGTGCACCATTAGTAATTTTCATGTGTTTAGCATATATATAGCTATTCGTGAAGAGAGGGGGAGGGGGGGAGGGGGGCGGGTTATGAAATTACCAAATTTATCTAAAAAATGTTGTAATATAACATTTCTTATTGAATAGGAGAGAGATTATTTTGACTTCTCCTGCAAAGTCCTTGATTTTTGCAGGAGAAGCATAAAAGAAAAAAAAAAAAAAAAAAACATGCAGGAGCGCGCTTAGAGGGAACTTAGCGCCCCAGCGGGCGCATGTTCCCCACGCTCAGAGTCGCCGCTAGCTAGCGGCCACTCTTACCTTTTTACCGTTGTTTTTTTTATTTTTTATTTTTTTTTTATTTTCAGATGCTTTTTTTCTTTTTTTTTCTCTCTCCTACATGTCTTCATAAAATGTTGCGCAAAAATCAAATTCATGATATATTTTGTTGATGATCATTCTTAAAAAAAAAAAAATTGTTAATGATCTAATTAAAATTATCACTTTACATAAAATTATTAAAAAAATAATAATTTAAGAACCAAATATATGGACACGGACTAAAATTGTTATTCTCGAGAAAATAGTAATAATCCCTGTGGCTATGCTGTGTAAGTTCAGAGTTGAGACACAGCCAGAAAATTGGCTGTATTGTTTGGCATTAACTTTCTCTTCTGTCAAATTAAAAGCATGCAAGGAAACGGAACTTTCAACGCAAATTAAAGATACCTTTTTCTGTTTTCTTTGGCTTTGTTTGGATGTTGCAACTTCGAACACACCGTTAACAAAATGCGTTTTATTTCCGCAAAAAAAGCACTACACAACAATTTACACATTCACTCTCTGCATTCTTTCCTAAACAGCAATGGCAATCAATGGCCACAAATGTCATTTTCGTACTTTTATTTACTGTTACCATGCTTGGAAAACAAAAGTCAAATTACTTTTTTTTTTCTTTAAAAAAAAATGCTTTAAAAATTTTATGTCAGATGGTTAGAGAGATTATTGGCGGAGACATGAAGTGTCTCTCAAAAATGTATACAAAAATAAAATATCGCCTTTATTAGTGGTATCCCATATGCAAGGATAGAGCTAGTATGAGGGCAACTGCCCTAACTCTCCCCACTCCACCCCTTTATATATATGTATAATGTATGTATATATAATATATGCATGTATAGCATTAAATGTTATATAAAATTTATATTTATGTTTAAATTATTAATAGTTTGAGTAGCTTAGTTAGTTAAACTCTAAATTTGAGTTTAAAAATTATATGGATATATGTTCAAATTTCATTAACAACAATTTTCTTATAATTTTATGAATCATTTAATTAACAAATTACATTTTATTTTTAGTCTACTTTTTATGAATCATTTAATTAATGTAGTATACAAGTTTATATTATCCTTCATTGTACTCGAATTAATTTAGAAAAACTTAAAGTTGATTTAACTAAAAAAATTAAAATTTAAAATTATTTATAAATATAGTGTTATTCAAATTATTTTATGTAATTAATTATGTTTCATATTTTGTCATAAATATTTTTATATTTTCACTATACTCAAGTATATATTTTTGATTTTGACTCTAACTATAGTGTAATATATAAAAAATATTCTATTATAATTTATAATATATTTTGTATTTTAACTTTATTAAGATTATTTAATATTTTATAATTGACATTTCTAACCCTCTTCGCCCTCACTCAAATAATTTTCTGACTCCAAAAAAGCATGGATTAGATGAAGATAGATGATAGGTGATAGCTAATATCATGGACGTGTAGTGAGGCGATATTTATGATTAAAAAAATCCAAACAGAACGCAACTCTTTCTCCGAGGAAATGGAAAGTTGGAGACTACTTGGCATCTGCACACGCCAAACATACATACCCACCAAACTCTCCTCTTATATACTCTCTTCTCTCTACGAAATTTCCTGGAAGCTCACTATGCCTCCCTTCACTTCTCTCCCATTTAAACCTCTCTCTTCCGCTCAACAACCCACCATTCTTCTTTCTTTCTCTCTCATCTCTCCTCTTTCTCTTTCGCCATGAAGATGCCCAGACCGGGTAAGCTCTTTAAATCCTTAAGATCACGTTCATTGTCCAGATCCGACGATCCGCCGTCTGTTAGGTCCGGAACGACGTCGTCGTCGTCGTCCTCCGCTTCCGATTCTGAGTCTCAAACCGGGTACAAGAAGCCCGGCGGAGAATCCACGCCCACCAGCGTCCTCCCCGCGCTCAACGACGAGATCTCCCCCGACGAGTTGTCTGGGCTGTACGCCGAGCTGGTCCAGGCGTTCAAGCTGATCGACAGGGACGATGACGGTAAGATCAGGAAAGAGGAGCTGGAGGCGCTGTTGAGCCAGGTGGGAGCCGAGCCGCCCAGCAGGGAGGAGCTGAGGTTGATGTTGAGCGAGGTGGATAGGGACGGCGACGGTTGCATTAGCCTCGAGGAGTTCAGCGTGCTCAGCTCCGCCTTCGCCCCACCGTCTTGCGACTCCGAGCTGCGAGACGCCTTCGACTTCTTCGATACGGATCACGACGGGAAGATATCCGCGGAGGAGCTGTTTAACGTGTTCAAAACGATCGGCGACTCGCGGTGCACGTTAGAGGACTGCCGGCGCATGATACTTGGGGTCGATAACAATGGCGACGGCTTCGTATGCTTTGAGGACTTCTGCCGTATGATGGAGCAGCAGCAGAGATGACTGTTCGATCTTGATTTGGATGAAAACAAAACAGAGTTTCTTTTTCTTCTTCTTTTGGAACATGCGGGTCACTGATATTTGTAATCGGGTCGGGAGTTAATTAGAAATCGGGTTCGGATCTTCGTAAGAAACGGGATCGAAACTACCAGATGCATCTTCAGTGAGAAGTGGTTTCAACTTTCAACTCTGCCACTTCTGCCCTTGTCTATATGTACTGGATTTCCACCAATCAACTGAATATTACAGTATTTCAATTTGTGCAATGCTTTTCCTTTTCCTTTTCCTTTTTTAACAAAATATTTCTAAATAGTATGAAAAATGATTGTTTTTTTCATTATAATGCCTGCAATAACAAGTTAATAAATGCAAAATATTACTCCATGTCAAGTAAAGATTAGGGGATTAGGGGTGTTATCGGATACAACATTCACTAAAACTACTCGGGTTCGTATTTAGTAAGCGTTTTTGCTGACGAACATAATTGAACAAATTTTAGGTTTGTATTTAGTAAGCGTTTTTGCTGACGAACATAATTGAACAAATTTTAGAGCTCAAACTTGTTTATTATGTGTTCGTGAATGTGTTTATAACATTAATAAAAAATAAATACACGAATAATCTGTGTTCATAACATTAATAGAAAACAAATAAGAATAATCTCCGTTCATTCAGGTTCGATTTTGTCAACAAATAACTACCCCAGTAAAGATACACTACGATTGCTTTTGTTATTCCACTAATACTAACAAAATTCATGAATTTTCTAGAAAGTTCTTTGATGGCTCAAAAGAAAGGAACTTTGAAAATGACATTTGGTGCTGAATTATATGCTTTGGCCATGAACTTAGTTCATATGTTTCAGGTTAAATTTTGAAATTGAGTTAGTGCTGGATTTAATACAACTGCAAAGGTACTTTAAATTTAGTAATTCACAAATAATTTGTACATATTTTTGTTTATAGTTATTAAATTTAGTTATCTATCTTTTTTTTTTTTTTTTTTTTTTGGGTCATTTACTAATTGAGATGTACTAGAAAAACAATGTCTAAACAAATTATTTATGAATAACAATCTAAAAATGTGTTCAAAGTAATTGGCTAAATTTAATATTAACTCGTTTAAAACAACTTTTAAAATTTATAAATAATATATTAACAAAAATGACCAGGGTCATTTAATCATTTTAATTTTGATTTATGAATTTGCAACTAGTGAAGAAACATTTAATTACTTCATTTGACCATTAAAATGTTACCTTTATGTATCATATTATAAAATTTGTTAAAAAAGCAAAATTTATTTTAAATTATTGTACAGAATAATATTTAATTTAAGAAACGAATTTGAGCTATCAACTAGCATATCTTTTATATTGCGCGTAATTATATATGCTCTTGAAGGCATTCAAAAAAAAATATATATGCTCTTGAAGATTTTACCTAATATTAAATTTTTAATACAATTTCAAAAATATAAATGATTTTACTTAATATAAAAAGCATGATTGTTGATAGACATTCTTACATAATATTCTAATTAATAAATCATATTTATATCAAATATTCATTATACTTTCACTTTTTTAAAAAAATAAAATTATACTCCGTAATAGTTATCACAATTTTATGAACCGCCTAAAGAATTCTTTATTTACAAATTGAGTTAATACCCAAAATCGTCCTCGACTATAGTGGCTTTTCTCAATTTCGTCCTAAACGATTTTGGTGACCTAATATCGTCCCAGACTTTTGTGTTTCGCTCAATTTAGTCCCAGATTTCTGTATTTTTGCTCAATTTAGTCCCTCATTTGTTATTCTGTCCATTTGGTGTTAAATAAATAGACAATTCAGTAATTTTAATATTGACATCTCTTTACTCATAGACATGTGAACTGCGAAATCTTTTTTTTTTTTACGAATTACTCCCAGAATTACTCCTAAAACTGCGAATATAAAATTTGATTTGCAGGTCCGGAGTAATTCTTGGTGTAATTCGTACAAGAAATAGTAATTTCGCACTTCACAAGTTGAAAGTAAAGATACATCAATATTGACATTACTGAATTGTCCCTTAATTTAACACCAATTTGACGGAATAACAAATGAAGGACTAAATTGAGCGAAACACAAAAGTCTGGGACGATATTAGGTCACCAAAGTCGTTTAGGACGAAATTGAGAAAAACCACTATAGTCGAGGACGATTTTGGGTATTAACTCTTTACAAATTTGAATACCGAAAGGCCAAAGCCGCACCTTTTCCCTATATGTTAGTGTCATGCTTCTCCCCTGACTTGTCACTTCCTGGAACGTTCATGCAATCTGAACCGCCATCAAATTTTAATTTTTAAAAATTTTTAGTACTATTAACTCTATTACATTGCAATATATGTTCATAACTACTTTCTCAACTTACTGAAGCACAAGTTAATACTGTTTCTATTGAGCTTTAAACTCACAACCTCGCATATGAGAGAGCAACTTAATGCCACAAAATCACAAGTTTCTTGCTTAATTTTCAAAATTTTTAATACTATTAATTTTGTTACAATGCAATATTTATTCATAACTACTTTCTCAACTTACTGAAACACAAGTTAATACCGTTTCTACTGAGCCTTAAACTCACAACCTCTAACAAGGCGTTTGGTTGGAGAGGGGGAATTATGTGGAAAAGGAATTGTAATTCCATGGGAGTTGAATTACTGGGAATAAAATGGAAATTTAAATTCCAGTGTTTGGTTGACAGGAATAGAATTACTGGGAATTTCAATTCCAATATTTGGTATACATGGGAATTGAAAGGGAATATGTAGTATAAAGTCAAAAATGTCCATTATTGTTGTTAGACATTAATTTTAGGTTAAAAAAGGAATGAATAATTTTGACTCATCACTATCTTTTTTTCCCAGAAATTAAAATACCAGGGGAGACATGAAATTTTAATTCTATGAAAATGGGGAAATTGCAATTCCCTCCAACCAAACTACGAAATTTAATGGCCTTTGAAATTAGGTAGGAATTAAGTGGAAAGGAAATTTAAAATCCCTCCAACCAAACGTCCTGTAATATGAGAGAGCAACCTAATGCCACCCAATCACAAATCTCTTGCTTAATTTTCAAATTTTAACAACTAACTTTTTGAATAGAGTGTGCCAAACAGAACTTATCAAATCAGTAACACTGGCCAGATGCATTGATCATCTTGGCACATGCCGACATGGTGTTTTGAGGCAATTAATATTAACAATCGAGAAGAAACATGCCGATAACTGAATATTTTGACCCATTTTCACAAATCGAGAAGCTTTGACGCTGCAAAATTACTAAGAAACAATAATTAAGCAATTCGATGCTACCAATTATCTTAATTAATCTTTATCCGCATTTTTAATATGGTTTATTGTTGCTGTCGTGATACGTTATACTGATTAACGATTATGGTTTAATACGGTTGAAAGAATAGATTTTTTCGACTTAATTAGATTGAATATAGATTATATTAAAATATGTTGCAATACCAATTAGAATGAAGAAAAATATTATTTGTATTAAATATAATTTGAATTGTTAAAAATAAAAATATTTAAAAAATAATACAATCGAATCAAATAAATAAAAGCATTGTTTGTTGTCGTTTGTGTTAAGTCGGCCGAGAGTTGGTAAGCTCCAAGCGGAATGGGCGGTTTGGCGCGGAGCGATGATTGTTAACGACAAAACTCAAAACGATGTCGGTTGCTGTATGCTTAGAATTTATGGTGATGAAAACCTAAATAAGTGAACATTTATATTGGTCATGGGGGCGACTAGCTACAAATATATATATAATGTATTGGGTGTTTAATTATTGAGCAATAAACAATAAAAATGCAACAACTCCTGCGGACACAAGGAAAATACAATGCGATTTGGAAGATTTCAAATTACATAAAAATTATACTATACGAGTGGCATTTGAATTGTTCTTTTACTTGGTCCGTTTAATTGGCTTTCTTCTATCATAATTGTATTGAACATTTGATTTAATAAAGTTTCGTCAATTGATTTTTTTAAAAAATAAATGTTAAGCTCCGTTAGAGATAGTGTTTCGCGAAAGATTGTGAAGGAATTGGGAAAATCAGTGGATTGAGTGGAATTTACATATATACCCTTGTAAAATATAATTGTAGTCTTGAACCGAGTTTAATGATTGTGGCTTTGTTTGATAGAGCTCATTTTAGAGTTTATTACTTATTTTAAATAAAACACTCCATCAAATAATGCTTCAAAATACAAAAATGACACCATTTATTATTCTCCTCACAGTTCTTTACCGGTGTGAGATAAGTAAACGGACTAGATTAGTAACTCAAAGTAGTATATGTCCCTCACTACGCTGACTCTATTACAATGTAGTATCTGTCTGAGATTCAAATATATGACCTCTCTTTTGAGAAAGTCATAGAGACGTCATTAAACTACAAGCTACTTGGCGACTAGATTAATAATTTAGAAACAATTGACGAATGAAAAGTATGATTGATAACTTTAAAAATAATAATAATAATAAAGATTTAATGTCATCCTTTTTTTGTTAAGGTGAGATAGAATGGCCTTACTGGGGCGCCCTCTTAAAGAGTTTGAAAAGAATAATATATTGGGGTAGTCCATCTCTGAAAGACTATTATAATTTATAAGCTTGAGATTGCATGAGTAAATGAGACATTTCTGCTGCCATTATTTGATGCAAACTATTGATTTACCAAAGAGGTTTCCTTTAAGACTTATAACAACAACAACAATACCAATTCACGGCAGAACAGACGGGTAAAAATAGAGAAGAAAAGGCCATCGTTCTTGTGTTTGTGAGACTGGAAAATTGTTTGTCATATGTTGCAATAATGAGAATTCACTGCAACAAATATGAAATTTCATTGTTTTACCAACATAAAATTCCATTAGTTTTCTCCTGCATTCAGGAATTAGCATGCACTTCATGCTTGCCCAATGAGACTTATAAAACACAAAATCATGTCATGATAAAACCATTTAAGATATCAGCTATTTAACTTTTGTAATCCTATGGCATAACATTCAAATTTAGCCCAAGAGCAGCCCCCAATTTGTTTCTAACCAATAACCAGAGCTTTGAAGACACTTCCCATACTTAATCCACTGCTAATTTCTTCACAACAATAATATCATAATCAATGATTTGAAATTTAATACTTGAATCAGGCAAGTATGCGGATGAAGCTAAACAAATACTATGCAGATGTGTAGATGAAATAAGAACAGCCTAATGTAGCACATACAGCCAAGAGAATTCTACTGCTAAGCCTACACTCATACACTAGCTAGCAGATAAAGCGAAACCATTCACAATATCATGAATCCCAAATCCGCCACGGTAAACAAAGCGCAAACCATGCTAAAAGCGCTATTTGTCTGCGAAATCTCATTGGTCTCAACACTTCAATTTCAACGCTATATGCTGCACATTCAATTCTATCAAATAAACGGCGAGAGCGAAAAGCACCAGAATCCAAAACGCGGCCAAGTTAGAAAGGTGAAAAACCCTAAAAATTTAAGGAAATCCATAATTCAAAAGCAGCTTAGCAAAATTTCACAGGAATCCGCAGCAGAATTTTGGGGGAGAAAAAAATTTGGACCATTTCTCGATTTGTGCGTGTCATCCTTGCGCAGGGGCCATGCTAATCTTCTCTGTATCGTTCCAATTTTATCGGATGTCCCCGAAGGGACATTCTTGTTGTTCAATGGCGGACTATGTGTACTGGAAAGGAGCTGTATCGTCGCCCGATGTGGGAGCTGCACAGACAAAAGCGAATACTAGTGATAGTGAAGAACTGAAGAGTGAAGACCGACCATTGTTGCTTATAGCGGCCCATTAAGGCATATAAGCCCAGTCCAAAATTTTAAATCTATAAATTCCAAAATGTGTAATGTGTATACAATGAATATTTTCTCCATTTCTTAAAAAATATTATAGAGGAAATTTCAATTTTGGTCTTATGACTATATGAGTCTTGTTAATTTCAGTCTTTGACTTTTAAAAGTGTCAATTTAGTATCTTGATTATGCAATTTTTATCAATTTTAGTCACTCCGGTCAAATTGCCGGTCAAATTTTACCGAAAAAACATAATTAACCAATTAATGTTTAATCTGAGGGACAAATTCGTCTTTTCACTACCTTTCCCCTCCACTCCTCCCATTCCTCACAAACCACCAGCCAAATCCATTATTTCCGGCGATGGTGGTTAGGCCATGGATTGGAAAAGGCAACAGCTTCTTGTGTTTCAGTCCAAATCTGGCAGGTATTCAGCTTTACTTTTCGGTATTCCCTCCCATTCTTAAAGCTTGCTTAAACCTCCCGCTCTCCTTCACACATAGACATGCTGCCTCCATCCACGCATCTATGCTCAAGCATGGTTTCGCAGCAGCATTCACTTCCGTCTTGGTGCTTGTGGTTCAGACTTGTAGAAATCTTGCAACTTTTTTTAATGGACAGAAGATTCATTGTTTCGTAATTCGAAGTGAGTTTTCGGCTGTAAACTCCGACCAGAACTCACTACTGAATTTGTATACAGAATTTGGAATGGAACTTACACGGGAGCTGTTTGATGAAATGAGTGACAGAGATGTAATTTCTTGTGGAAACACAAGAAGTATAATTCTCATCAGAGTGCCTTTGCTGATCCATGGCCTAAATCGCAGGAAATAATGGATTTGGCTGGTGGTTTGTGAGGGAGGGGAGGAGTGGGGGAGGAAGGTAGTAAAAAGACGAATTTGCCCTTCATATCAAACATTAATTAGTTAATTATGTTTTTCCGGCGAAAGTTGGTCGGAAATTTGGCCGGAGTGACCAAACCTGATAAAAATTGCATAGTCAAGGTACTAAATTGGCACTTTTAAAAGTCGAGGACTGAAATTAACAAGACCCATATAGTCATAGGACCAAAATTGAAATTTCCTCAAATATTATATTTATTTATGCTTCCCACATATATTTAAATCAATTTTCAATACAATCATTATATCATGTACCACAGTCTATCTTGTACATTTTAATATACTAAATATTCACTTTTTAAAAGTACATTATGTAAGTATTGAAGGTTCATTGATATTATCAAATACTCTCTCCGTTTCATTTTATGTGTTTGGTTCGGTTAACGAGGTTTAACTGAACTTATTTTTAATAATATTAAGTTTAGTATTAGTATACAAAATTTATATATTTAAAAACTACACAAAGGGTACTATTAAACACAAAAAATTAAATTTAAAAATAAGTAAAAATAATAAAGAAAATAGTCAAAGAAAAAAGAGTTTGTTTGCCTAATGAATACTAAGTAGGACAGATAAAATGAAGCAGAGAGAGTAACATACCTTCAAATCCTTCTATATATTAAAACAAAACATTTATTCATGATCTACAATATAATTTGTCTTTTCAATATCATCCGGGTAATAACATTTATTTTCTTTAAACCCATTTCCAAATGGCAAAATTTCCATTTTTATGGACATAATATAGTATAGAAAATTAAATAATTTAATCTATGAATTTTGCAATAGGAAAAAAAAAAACTGCTTATTAAAATTATTTGTATATGTTCAAGTGAAAATGGGTTGAAGGACATGGATTCATCAAAAATATCTAATCAAAAAGCTCTACCAAATTACAATTTAGTAATAAAAAAAAATGGGGATTGTCAACATTTTAGTATTATTTTCTAGGACCCCTATTTATTTCTAATAAATATAGTTCAACTAATTAACATTTGCTTAAAGGGAAGAGAAAAGTATGGAGACACCAATCTCTTTGCATAAGCTTTCTCCATCATCTCATATTTGGCATGAATTCAGGATCCCAGTTCAATGGCCATCATCTGTCATCATTTCTGGGAAACCAACAAAGAAGGAAGTAATTATCAACTTAAGAAAAGGGTGAAACATGAACAAGATTAGTAGATTACAAATAGAAGACAGACAGCCAAGAATAGATGGTGACAACAATCCCATATGATCATGGCTGACAATCTGATCAACAAATGGAACAATTTATTAGGTGACAACAATCCCAGAGTTAAATCAGTACTATTTCCATAATGGTAAAAGTTAGGGAAGGCGTATGAGCTAAATGCTCACTCATTAACCAGAATTTCTGGAGTCCATAGCTTCAGAAATCAGCAAAATAATGCAAATTAAGAAAACACTCAATTCATTTCCTTCATAATTTTCTCGCTCCGTTAAGGATAATATATCGGGCTACTCCATCTCTGTAAGACTATAAGCTTGAGATAGCATCAGTAAATGAGGCATTGCTGCCCTTATTTGATGCAAATCTGAATCACTACTATATGTGTTTCACCTACTTGATTCACTGAAACAGCTGGTATGGGCCTCTGACTTCCAATTCTTGTTCTCATGTTAAACTCAGCTAATGAACTTTCTTGCCAACAAGTCCTTAGTCTCTCCACTTGTTTCTGCAACTCTTGAATGTAGAAGAACATGGATACAGTGGCCAAAATACTTCATTTCTTCTGCAAACATTAACAAACTATTGATTTATCAAAGATACTTCCTTAACACTTACTGCAACATACATTAAAGAACAAGAACATGAACAAAACAAAAAAAAACAAAAACAAAAAAAAAAAAACAAAAAAAAAAACAATTTCACTGGCAGCAGGTTCACTAGCATCATGCCTCACTTTCTTGATCACAATGACAGGAGCATCAATGCATCATCACCACCATTACTCCCAGTAAACTTCAAACAATTACAAAGTTCAACTTATGGGCAAGAGGAGGGGGAGTGGAGTTGTGGGAAGTTGTGCTCTAGCAGTATTAAATTGTGTCATGCCTTATGGATTCTTCCACAGGCCAGAACAGATGGGTAAAAATAGAGAAGAAAAGGCCAGAACTCTTGCGTTTGTGAGACTTCACAATTTTTTGTCAAATGTTAAAATAATAAGCACAGATTTATAAGTACACCAAATGCTTTTACTGAACTTACACATGTGGGAATCACTAAATCCATTAGACTGTTATGCACAAATCACATTTCAGCACATGAAATCTGCATTCAGCTTTAGATGAACATGGGGACAACCCAACCGAGTTGGTCGGTAAGTTGGTTTGGTAACCACAAGGTTCTAAGTTTCAACTTCCCATGGGAACTACAAATTGGCCTTCTTGGTTTGAACCAGTAAGCTATGGACAACCTAAGCTAGTTTACCTCTATGTGGTCCTTTGCCGGTTAGGGTCACAAGGCGAGTTTCATCCAAAGCGCACTTCACCAGGCTTTCCCATAAATCAAAGCTTTAGATAAACATAGACAACATGCTATTACAAGTCATATATTCCACAACAATGCGCACGCAAATCATTTATCAGCATTCATAATTCAAAATTATGATTTATTCTGAGCAAATCTAAAAGAGGTTGTGTTTAAACGGAGTAGTTTAGTGTATATTCCTCCCATTTTCTATACTAGATCATGGACATTCAGCCCCTGGACATAAAAGAATTACAGAAACCACATGGGAATGATGTCAATCACACCTTTACTTGTACAAGCATAGATGTTTGAAAAGATTGACCTTATAATGAATTTGCAGAGGATAAACGAAACAAGACTATGGACACTGTCCTCCTGACCAAAGCACCCAGACACTAGCAGAGCCCATAACCATTTTGGTAAGCTAATCGATGCCAGAAACATGCAGCTTGAATAACTGTTTTCTGAAACGAATTAACTACAGGTTGTGAAGAATGAACTGCTATCTATCATGTCATGTCCTACTTGCTAGAGAATTGAAGTTGAAACCTTAAATATATAGTTGTCCACCTCAATTCAGCTACAAAATCAAGAACAGCAGTTGCAGGTGAGCTGAAAAAACAATTACACTCATAAATCATTATATGTTTTTAAGTGTTTCACATCCTAAAAGTCTCAGAACATATAAAAGTTTCACATCTACAACAACCCATAATTATGAATGTTATTCAAGCATCAGCATTCCCAGTTCAATATTTTACTCATTCTCGTTACTAAACTTATCAGAGATATCACCTGGAATTCACTGCAACATATTTGAAATTTCATTGTTTTACCAACATAAAATGAATTCGATTGCATCTTCAAAAACTACAAACAATCTAATGACAGAATACAAAACACGGACACGCACAATTATAGAACCAGTGTTCATTGTAGCCAAAGTAGAAAGAAAAAGCCAGAAACTTCTCCAAAGAAATAACACAATAAATTTCCTCTCTGTATTTCAATTAGACTTGAGGTATGAAGAACCTATATGCTGCACATTCAATTCTATCAAATAAACGGTAAGAACGAAAAGCACTAGAATCCCAAACGCGGCCAGTCAGAAAGGTGGAAAACCCTAAAAATTTTAAGGAAATCCATAATTCAAATACAGCTTAGCAAAATTTCACAGGAATCCGCAGCAGAGTTTTGGGGGGAGAAAAAAATTTAGACCATTTCTCGATTTGTGCGTGTCATCTTTGCGCAGGGGCCATGCTAATCTTCTCTGTATCGTTCCAATTTTATCGGATGTCCCCGAAGGGACGCTCTCTGCTTCCATGGCGGTCTATTAGTCTATATCTACTGGAAAAAAGCAGGTTCATTTGCCGATGTGGGAGCTTGTCCAGAAGAGAGTAAAGTCAAAGAGACTAAAACACCATCATGTCCTTAAAGCGGCCCGTTAATGCATGAAGACCCGGTCCAATTCCCCTCGTTTTCTTTGTATCTTCTTTATACTCCGTATATTGTTTCAAGATAATTTTATTTATTTTTTGTTTTATTCTGTTATGTATTGATAATTTTTGTAGCTTTTTTGTGATTCACTATAATTGAGTTTATAGCTAATATGTTGTATCATTTTACAGGACGTTTGGTTGGAAGGAATAAATTAGGGGCGAAAGGAATTGTAATTTGGTGAGAAAAGAATTAGGTGATAATAAATAATAATTCAAATTAGATTGTTTGGTAAGGAAGAATATAATTATTGAGAGTGAGAAGGGAAGCAGAATATAAAGACTAAAATGTCCTTGTATAATAATAATAATAATCAATGATAAAAAAAAATCATTTTCTTCCTTTTTCTTTCTTTTCCGTATTGAATTGCAATTCAACAAAACGAGGGAATTGTAATTCCTTCCAACGAAACACTGTATTGTTCCAATTTTATTGGATGTCCCTGTAATGGCCTTCACTGACTTACAGAAACAAAGAAGGGGTAGGGTTTAGAGAAGAAGAGAGATGAGAGGAAATAGAGATTTTATTCCCAAATTCAGCATAGGAAAACAGGTATCTTCCCACTTCCAGCCATTATATAAGCTCTCAAACAACCCCACTCAATACATAACAGATTCTAACAACTCAACAGAATTGAAAAAAAAAAAAAAAAGGAATTTATTTGAAATTAAACAGAAGGTAAAAACGGTGTCGTCTGACAAGCCCCAAACCGCAGGTCAACCGCTCTACCTGAAACGACGTCGTTGGATTCCCCTTCAACCGCTGCCTTCATACGACATCGTTCTCTGCGCTTGATTCTTCATTCCAGAATCAGCTTCTTCCATTTGCTTCTTCCTTCTTTTGCTTCCTCCTTTCTTTCCTACCCTTGATGGTTGTAACCATATAAGGCCTGGAAGGGGGTGCATTTGAGAGAAGTGTGGTAATTGGTGTTGTACCAGAATTCTGCCAAATGAAGCCACAGCTATGCCTCTCATTTAGTATTATGTTCTAGGACCCCTATTTATTTCCCAATAAATATAGTTCAGCTAATTAACATTTGCTTCAAAGGGAAGAGAAAAGTATGGAGACACCAATCTCTATGCATCAGCTTTCTCCATCATCTCATATTTGGCATGAATTCAGCATTCCCATCCAGTTCAATGCCCATCATCTGTCATTATTTCAGGGGAAACCAACAAAGAAGGAAGTGATTATCAACTTAAGAAAAGGGTGAAACATCAACAAGAAGATTAGTAGATTACAAATAGAAGACAGACAGCCAAGATATTATACAAGGATAGATGGTGACAACAATCCCAGATCATCATGGCTGACAATCTGATCAACAAATGCAACAATTTATCAGGTGAGTTTGGTGTTTTCAGAGTTAAATCAGTGCTGCATATAATACTAATAAATGTAAAGTAGAATTGTTTCATTAACATTTTGTTCTATATATCTAGTCTTCATGCCCTGGTATCTCTCTCTCCCCCTCCCCCAAGACCCCTTTATTTGCTTCTTAAAAAGATATCGTGAAAATTTAAAGTGATGAAAAGTGCACACCACCTACCAATTAAGGTTAGATATTTCCAATTGGCAAATGAAGCAAAAGTGCAAAACACAGCTACCGGATCCCTAAAGGTCTAAAGTCATGGCCACTAAAGAATTCCAGCACATGCCATTTCATTCAACCTTTGGGTCCCAATAGAGAATATGAAAGGTAAAAATGCTACCTTTTGTCACTGACTCACTGTGTTAATGGAAACCATTGAACAAGCATAAGCAACTAAGCAAGGCTCCACAGCAATTGTCAACAATTAAGACCAGTAATTGAAGAGATATTATTGACAAATCCTCCCTGCTTCGCACTGCACATGCAACAAATGTATTTTGACACCAACCATATGCGGTTAGGTTTGTTTTAATGATGTCATTCCATTATATGTACGACAAATCCAAATATCCAATAGTGTGTGTGCAATTCCTCTAATTGGAGATCAAGGAGTCAAAAGTATCACCTTAAGAAAGCAATAATTTTTAGCATCATATTTTGAACGATCATAATAAAAATCGGATCTATTATTTCATATATTTCAAATTGTGCTAATTAAACAGTAGTAATCATTTGTCAAAACTAACTACTGTCATGATTTTAAATACTAAGTTTCACCTCATAACGAATCAAGAAGGTTAGATAACTTCCTTTCATAATGGAATCAACTAAACAGGTATCTTGCACATCCTACTTGCAAAAAGTATCAAAACCTTCAACACTTCATTGTCTACCATGATTCAGCTATGAAATCAAGTACAAGATTAGTGGGAAAGCTATATGAATTATTATTTATTACACTCATATATCATCACATTTTAAGTAATTAAAATCCAAAATGTTTCGTGCATTCAAATAAAAGAATATATGCACATGTTGTACCTCACGTCTACAATACAAGGAAGAAGCAATAATCAACCCAATACAGCCAGGTGCTTGGTAAACCATGACAATATGAATGTTTGCAGAACTGCTATTGCCAAACTTGACAAGCAATGAGTTTGCAGAATTACCTGTAAAATTAGTTTTATCTGTGTAGTGAAGTCCATGGAGCAATAAGACTGAGGACATCTCATCCGCTGGACCACAGCACAGGATCAGACCAGCACCCTATACTTTTCTTTTCATATTCTTATACTGGGAGAGTCCCATATATCTGCAATCTGTGAGATTGACTGGAATCTTAAGAAGGCAACCTCACCAGCTTTTCTTTCTGAAAAGGAAACAATTTTAGGTGTGAATACCTATCGGCTATCTCTATGAAATCAAGAACAGAAGTAGCAAAGGACAATCCCAGCCAAGTTGGTCAAGCAGTTGACTTGGTAACTACAACTCTACAAGGTTACAAGTTCAACTTCCAGCAGGAGCGACCTATTGGCCTTCTTGATTTGTGGTTTGCCGGCTAGGTGGGTTTATCTGGTGCACACTCTCGGGTTGTGGTTGCGAGTCCCCGTCACTCAAAAAAGAACAGGAGTAGCGAGGAAAGCTAAAAGAATGATTACACTCACACATCATCATATTTTTAAGAAATGCGTTAACATATAAACCTACTCAACATGTCATATCTACTACAACCAGGTGCCCAGAGACCCATAATTATGAATGTTATTGAATAATCAGCATTCCTAGTTCAATATTTTACTCATTCTTAATACCTAAACTTATCAGAGACATATCCCCTGGAATTCAATGCTGCAAATACGGAATTTCATTGTTTACCAAGATAAAATGAATTCAATTGCAACTTCAAAATCTACCAACAATCAAATGGCACAATACAAAACACAGACGCACAATTATACTGCAAGTAATCATTGCAAACCCAGAAACTTTTTTAAAGAAATAGCATAATAGATTTCCGTTCTTGATTTCGATTAGAGGTATGAAGAACCAATATATACATTCAATCTCGAAAGCATCGTATATACCAGTATTCCGAACGCCGTCAAGCAGGTTAGGAAAATGGAAAACCCTAAACATTAAGGAAATCCAAGACTCAAGAGCAGCTTACCAAATTTGAAGCAAGAAAACAAAGGATCCATTGCAGAGGTTTTGGTTTCAAAAAAAATTTGGACCATTTCTCGATTTGTGCGTGTCATCCTTGCGCAGGGGCCATGCTAATCTTCTCTGTATCGTTCCAATTTTATCGGATGTCCCCGAAGGGACACTCTTTGCTTCCATGGCGGATTATGTGTACTGGAAGCAAGCTGCTTCATCGCCCGATGTGGGATCTGACAAGTTAAGAGACTTCAACATGAAAGAAGTAAATCAGAAGGCTATCGCTCCTAAGCAGCCCATCAAGGCCCAATCCAAATTTACCAATTTATTAATTCCGAAATGTGTATATAATAAATATTTTATTTATTTATATAGTTTTATTTTTCGTGGGATTATATTTGTGTGCATATACCCTTCTTTATTGAGCCTATTATTTAAAGCAGTTTTCAATATTATCTTGGTAGTAAATTTTATTTTCTTTTACTCCATTTTTTTATTAACATAATATTACATAAAATATTTTGCAATTTAATCTATAAAAATTTATTATAAAGAATGAAAATTTCTATAATATTCATTATAAAACTACTATCGAATAACATCCTGGTCATATCGTACCCGAATAAGTTTAATATCAATAATGATCGACATCATAAAATCTTCTTGTATAACAAATCTATAAAAGGCTAGGTGGCGGAGACAAATAATTAGAAACCAAACTTATTAACATTTGCTTCAAAAATGGAAGGCAAATTGAGACACCAATCTCCAAAGACCAAAGCAATTAATACGCTTATTAAACCAATCTCTTTTGCATGAGGTTGGTTCTCCATCATCTCATTTTGGGTGACCAAGTAAGATGCAATGCAACAGTAGCTACTGATACGAGCATAAACAACACAATAAAACATTTCACTTGTTCCATCAAACATGCAAACAATAACTTTTTTTTGGAGATACAAAAGGGAGGGGGGAACACGGGCTGAGGGACGAAAAACAAAACAGCCTAACCAGTCTCAAGAATGAGATGTTCGCTCACAGCCCCCATCTGATCATTATAAACAAGAGAATCACATCCGGGAGAGGGGAAACAAAAATAATACTAGGCTCCCTCTTATTGGCAGCGAGCGTGGCCAAAAAGTCAGCAACAAACTTCTGTTCCGGAAAATATGAACTAACGAGTTGCTACCACCCCTGTGAAGTAAATCCCTGCATCGTCTCTGCAAAATACCAAGCTGGTTATCTCTACTTTTTGTAGCCATATATTTTTTCTTTTTGCATGGAATTAATTGAAACGCAAGAAATTTAAACAATTACAAGAAACATTGAAATTTATTGGAAGACATTCGGCTCCTGGACACAGAAGAATTACAGAAACAACATGGTGATTTAGATGTCAATCACATCTTTACTTGTACACGGCATAGAGGTTTGAAAAGATTGACCTTTAAATTATTGATGAAGTGACAATCTAGCAATGAATTCACAGAGTATTAAGAGAAACAAGTTCAATATTTTACTCATTCCTCATACTAAACTTAACAGAGATATATCACCTGGAATTCACTGCAACAAATATGAAATTTCATTGTTTACTAAGATAAAATGAATTCAATTGCAACTTCAAAAACTACCAACAATCTAATGACACAATACAAAACACAGACACGCACAACAATAGAGCAAGAAATAGAATACTAATTTTCCAGTCTAGAATTCAATTTGAGGTATGAAGAACTTATATACACATTCAAATCTATCAAACAAACGGTAAGAGCGAAAAGACCCCAGAATGGTACAAGAGGTTAAAAGGATTTCCAATCCCAAACGCGGTCAAATAGGTTAGGGGAGTGGAAAACCCTAATAATCAAGAGCAGCTTAGCAAATTTTCACAGGGAACAAAGAATCTATGGCAGGGTTTTTGGGCAAAAAAAAATTTGGACCATTTCTCGATTTGTGCGTGTCATCCTTGCGCAGGGGCCATGCTAATCTTCTCTGTATCGTTCCAATTTTATCGGATGTCCCCGAAGGGACACTCAGTGCTTTCATGGCGGAGTATCTATACTGGAAGTAAGTTGGTTCAACAGCCGATGTGGGAAAGACGAAACTGCAACAAAATGTAAAGGGCCATCGTAAAACGGCCCGTTAAGTCATGAAGGCCCATTCCATTCACTTAACCTTATTTAAAAACCTTCATACAATAATGATATATTTATTCCCCCTCCGATGGATGTAATATATATATATATATATTCTCTCTATTACGGAGTATTTTATTTATTTGCAGTTTTCTAAGCATACGATATTATAAATTTATTTTACTCGTCCTTTTGAATAATAAAATTCTTATTTATTTTACTTACGTAACTATATATGATATATCTAACATTTAAAGAAAGCATGTTATTTATAAAGAAAATGAAATATGTCTTTCGTTATTGATGATAGGCATATCTTGCAAGGTAAATTTAGATACAAATACTTATGTTTTTCATTATCTTGTTGTATAATGTATTCCGACGAGTTTAATTAATCATACAGTGCTAGTTTTAGTACTTAAATATCATAAATAGTGTTTAAAAGAATAAATCATACATAATCATGGTTGACTGTCAAATATTGTTAATATAGTGTTTTGAGACTAAGTAATATAATTATCTATAAGAAAAGTTATATAGAGTAATGGTACAGTGACGAAAGTTAGACATGGTTATTAACTATTAAATGCAATTACTAATGTTTGAAGCATGCTCTATAAACTCGGGCCATAGTTTGAGCTGCCTGTTAAACTTATTAGTATTTATTTGATTTGACCTTTTTTTTTATCACACCATGGGCAAAGTGCTGGCCAAATTAGATTTTCCAAATGATACTGACTCTATTACACTATAGTATCCGTTCAAACACAAAGAGACAACAACGCATCCACTGAGATTCGATCTCATGACCTCTCTATGAGAGGTCATTACATGTCATCCGAGCACAAGGTGCTTGGCGATTGGACCTATTTAACTAATGTAAAATTCAATAATTATATCATAGATCAGGGTTCACCTTGTATACTATGGTCCAAAATAACATTCAGATTATGGCTCTATTTGGTAAATGGTTGTTTTTTTTTGAAAGCCAACCAATGAATGATTGTATTAATGAATCACAGCTGCAATGCAGTCTGGAGGGATAGAATCCCAATACATAGCTTGATCCTGAATAAAAGCTAACGAAGCTAACGTGTGCGCATGCGCATTAATCTGCCTAGAAACATGATTAAACAAGACATAATTAAAAGACGAAGCTAAAGACCTACACTGGTCAACTACTACTCCAACATATGACATTATGATAGTTGTATTCTGCCGTATCGCATTTCTCAGCTGTAGACAATCTGTTTGAATCGTTACCGTTGTTATATTTTTCTCCAAAAGCCAGGATAGAGCTTCCTTACATGCCAGTGCCTCCGCCATGAATGGTGACAAACAATTCAATAGTCTCCCATTTTTCGCCGCAATAAAAGTTCCCTCCGGAGACAGCAGCACAATACCATATGTAGCTTCCCCCGTGTCCTCCCGATACCCCGCATCCACATAACACCGTGGGGTGTAGTCGGTGCCGCCATCTGCTGTAGCCATCGTGGGAGCCGCCGTGCCACGGCACACCACCTGCCGGTAGGAGTGCAGCGCCGCCGTGGCCTGTCTCAAGGCTGTCATAGGCCGCGGCAGTGTGCCGTCCCATACCGTTGAATTCCTGCATCTCCATAAGCAATAAAGCAAAGCCACCACCGCTGCACTTTGGTCCTCTGTGAACATTGTAAGCACAATTGTTAGCCACTCGGGGAATGAGTTGACAACAATATTTGTTATTGGCAATCCTGAAATATTCCAAACATGTCTAGAGTAATCACAATTGATGAATGTATGCATAACATTCTCATGCTCTATCCCACACATTTGGCATGTGGGATCCACTTCCACCCTCTTTATAATCAAGTTGTTAGTTGTTGGAAGAATATCACAAACTGCTCTCCACAAAAAAGTCTTTCATTTTGGGGGTATTTTCATTCCACACATTTTAGTCCATTTCTCAAAACTCTCAGGCGAGTGATCATAAATTCCCATAATGTGTCTGTAGGCATTTTTAACTGTGTATATCCCATTGGGGTCATCAGGCCAATACCATGAGTCCTCATATCCTGGACTAACAGGTATCCTCAATATTCTACTCACATCTTCCTCCTCAAATAAATCTGCTAAAATATGTGGGTCCCAGGTAGCAGTTTGCTCATCTATTAAACCTACCACTTTAGCGTGCCTGAGCTCTACAGGCATATCAGTCTGCACCAAAGGGCTAGGATTATCAGGTAACCATGGGTGTCCCCAGATCAGTGTTGTTTTACCATCCCCTATCCTCATGCGCACCCGTGCCACCACCATATCATGAGCTGCCATAATACTTCTCCATGAGTGGCTCGGGCATCCTCCTACTTTGGCATCAACAAAAGTGGTATTAGGATAGTACCTTGCCTTATAGACTTTTGCAACAAGTGTGTCTGGACTTGTGAGTAGGCGCCATGCCTGTTTTCCCAACATTGCTAAATTAAAATTCCCGAGATCTTTGAATCCCATTCCTCCATATTTCTTTGGGATACTTAACTTATCCCAGGCCTTCCAGTGTATTCCTCTATCCATACCAGTGCCCCACCAATACTTGTTCATTGTTCTCTGGATTGATAAACATACTGAGTCCGGGATCAAAAAGACACTCATTGAAAAGGTAGGCATAGATTGTGCCACGCTTTTCAATAAAATCTCCTTTCCTGCCTGTGTCAGAAATTTCTTGTTCCATGAGCTTATTCTCTGTTTTATCTTATCCTCAATATATGAGAACACTGCCTTCTTGTTCCTTCCCACAAAAGATGGTAGTCCCAGATATTTCCCAAAATTGGGTGCCTGGTCTACCTGCAAGCAAATCGCCACCTCCTCCCTATCCTCCACACTGGTA